CGGTTTAGGCATCTTGGAATTTCATAGGCTTTATTGGCTCCATATCAGCACTTTCATAGCATATTTTCCGGTGTCCAACTTACACACATCGTGTGAATTGGACGTCAGATCAACGCGGGTCGGTAACAGTTTGCTTCGAGCCGATTTGTTCACATCTTGCATGGGCTTGACTGTCACATGTGGGCTGTGATAAGTGAACCACGAGCGATTAAACGGCTGCATATATTCTCGTGCACACTCGTTGATTCTATGATTTAGTGGCTTAATCGTCAGGTTTGCCGTCTCCGTGCGCCGAGCTCGAATACTCGCTCTTTCACACAGGCTTACAAACCTTACCAACATCCCGACACGAGTGCAGCCAGTTCCAGTTGGATGGCAAAGAGGCGTAAGTAAATTGCCTTTATATTGCCAACACCGTCGTTGCTTAAATTCACTTTCGTTCCGTGCATTGTTACCCGGTTTCGCCGAAGACACGTATCACTTACCGCCGTACCGATTGGTAAGCATGAAGCATGCAGACGATATGGCTCAATCACACTGATGTAAGAGCGATTCGGTATGATATGGAAATGGAGGGTTAGCCGCACTATATCTTAGTCAACTGTCAGCCATACAGGTCTGTCGCCGTCACGCATGGATTAGTGGTATAAGCTGCTGACATCCGGAAGTTATGAAGTTGGAACCTAGCGGGGGTCTGAAAAACGCGCACCACTGATGAGATCCAACAGGTCGAAACGGCCGTCCGGTACTTTTCCGGACGTATGGGAGCCTGACCGCCTGAGAGGGGATTGCGACAAGTTACACCTGATATTCGGTATATCATTCTCATCTGAAGTGTAAGGTACCACTGCAGGGCTGGCCCAACACGTCTCATGGTCATTTATCGGTCTACTTCTCTAGACAGCAGCATAACTTGTGGCGGTCAAAACAATGGAGAGATTGATGCACTCTTTTCAATGGTTAAATAGCTTACAGGGTAGACGAGATGCAGTCCTACTGGCTGAGAGAAGGGCACACAATGACATAGTGCGACCTGTGTTACCGTGCAAATCAGAGATATGGACATGCATGTCAAAGCTGTTAAAAAAAAACCGGCAATATATGATTGGCTTTGTCTACGCAGCATTATTCGCAGCACCTGGAGTGAACTCCGAGTGACCAATGTGGAGGCCCGCCAGTTCGGTAACACGTAATCTGACACTGTACTGGAGTGCTTAATAAACTCAAACCGCTTCTATTGGTTGGGTTATGTCTTCTGTACTACACGCCGTCGCCGCACCAACTTGAGGAAAACTGCGAGTTGGCTAGTCGATGACACAGCATAACAGCATGCGGAAATTGACCGTAAGACTTCGTGAGACTGGCGGGTTCCTCGGGATAGTCCACATCAATGATTGCAGATCCTATCGGATATGGTACAGGCCGTCACTCAGAGGCGCTCTCAAATTCGGTTTCCTGTAGCTAGTTGTCAACATTCCATTCCAATTAGCCTTCCGATTTTATTCCCTTTTATTTGGTTCACTGCATGGGTAATCCACCAATCCGGAAAAGCAGCAGACGATGGTTTCGCTCTTTTAATAGGGATCGAACCCATGACCGCTAGTGGCTTGCAACACTAGTCAGCAGCTTATGCCACTGAGCCATAGGGGACGATAGCCAAGCATAACGGATTGAAATCTAATCACGATATAACCCGACAAATCCTCCACTGTGATTCAGGTTACTGCTAATGCAGAGGACAGTGGCTGGCTATCCGGGTCAGTACTTCCCTTGCCAGTGCCGTGAACGTACGCAGCATTCTAAGGACCGGTAGATCTCAATTTTTGATTACTTGTGAGTAGACGGGTTAAGATATCAAATTATTTGCCTTACTTGGTATTCCACTTCATTTTCTCCCCGTTGCTGTTTATTGTTATCCTGGGTAACTGGACCCTCCGCACTTCGGAGTGCGGGCCATAGTCTAACTGAACTGTGCTCTGTGCAACTCGACTCGTACGTACGGTAAATAGAGCAGAACTTCGGGTGTAATTTATGCGAGTATCTCTGTATTGACCAACCATACAAGCTGAAGCAAGGATTCTAGAGTACAAGTGCCTTTTTCTCCACAATTTGCATCTGGCCACTCGCATATCGTTGGTCTCCCTGAGGCAACTTCGAACGGTGCTTGCCTATGGTTCCACTTCCTGTGCTCTTTAGGTATGGACGCCTACAGCGTTTTCTGACCAGAATCAAGCCAAATTCACACCCTACTCTACAGACTGTCAAACGCGCACGAAAACGCGAAGGTTCAGTTGTTAATAATCTGGAGTTTCAATGAAGTCGTTTCGAACGTTTTGTCTGTACAGGTACATCTCCATTCTAGCCCCTACTTTTAGTACATACTTAGTGTTTAACATACTGTAGACCCTCATTCGCTGGCATATCTCACTTCTAGAATTATAGCTTTGATATTCACTCGTGCTATCATGTAATTCAGTGCTCGTGAACTCACCCCTCGCCACACACTGTACACTGCAAATTGGACTACCGATCGCTTGGTTTTAAATCACGTCTGATTGCAACTCCCTTAATTGGCTTTGATACTGGACCTCAAGTGTCCGTTGTTTCGGGTTGCCCTCGTTTGACGATCGGTTGCATTTGGAGCATACAAGTGTTGTGCATCTTGTGCTCTGGATATTGTTGCCTTTGCCTCTTGTAAAATAGCACCGCAGCTGACTTCCGGCGTTGGCTTCTGGAGTGACCCAGAGTCCCACGCGTTGCTGAAAATCCGCGACTGATTAATTAGCCACAGAAATGTTTGCTGAAGCTTAACCACCCACGTTACTTAATTCATGTGCGTTATACGATTTCGTTGTATCTAGTTAGGTGAAACCGCTAAGTGACCACTTAATGATGCGGTAAAATTTTTTTTTGAAAAACTCGATGAAGCTGGTGTACGATTTTTATTCACTTTTTAAAACCCTTCTGGCGTTTTACCTCGTTTCTTCACCGGTATTTATTATGGTCCAGACGACATCGGACCCATGGAAATTCGCTCGCCGGATCATGGTGGTTTAGCTGTACCGAACTGATCTGCATGGTTCATTCACTAGACCATGTTTCTAACTCAGAAAAATGGGCGATCAGCAGTACGCCGACAGACTGTACCCACGCTTCGTAGCCATGCGACCACCACCAGTCACATGTGGGCTGAGTGTACCGCGAGGACGCCCGGCCCCACGCGGATTCGAACCGGTGGCGTAAAATCCTCTGGGCCACCGGCCGACCTTTTCACTCAGAAGCTTATCGAGGGTAGTGAATTAATGAACTTGGAGATTCTATCCATAATCGAAATTGCAAAACGACTCACAACCGAAGATATTTACAATATAACAAGTCGACGGGAAGCGATACCAGATGGTGCTGCAGCGCACATGTGGAACAGCGATTTCGTTCCGAGCATAGCACAGCAGATGAGGCGAAAAGGAGCTCCAGTTTCATTGGGAGAACATTTATGCAAGGCGACGTGGAAAGCAGCACAATCGGTGACAGCTGAGAAGGGGATGAGCATCAGAAGTGAGGGGAGATGATAGAAAAAAAGTGATCATTAACAGGAGCCAGTCTCTCGAAAGAGCGGAATGAGCGTGTTCTGATTTTGGGTTGGATAGTCGGTCAGACTCAAGTTCATGTAGCGCATTCGGTCATTGATCTAGAACCGCGGAAACAAACAACATAGTGGCGAGACCAAGCAGTATTAGACTGACGTGAATCGTTGATTCTCTGTGGTAAAAAGCGAGGGACGGGAAAAGACAGCGATCAGAATGTGGCAGACAACTGAATTGAGCCAGTTACACGTTGATTGTTATGAGTGTAATTGACAGTAGACTAGGGCAATGATATCACTGATACATACTACTTAAAGGTGTACATACATGAAGCGTGGCCCTCAGTTTGGCGCTACGAGACCAGAACCGTGACTGCCATATGGGGACAAGGAAACACTGATCATATGTTATCTCAAATTAGGCAGATAGGATTCGGAAAATGTTTACTACGCCGATATGTATTTGGAATTCAGGTCAAAGCATTCACGTTGCACAGTGGATGAAGAGACTTAGATCACTTTCACGCTGGATATCGTAGAGCAGGTGTGTCACTCCACTGGTCGGTTACCCGTGATGCATGTTGCTTTATTGATCAGT